CTGCTGTAAAAGAACCGGTGTTTCTTGGTCAATGTTCTAAATATGCTAGGTTTAGACCTTCGTGCTTTAGTATTCATTTTTTTGTTATTTTTCAATAATCAGTGTTCTAGTCAGCCTGATTTTTCCAGTCCGTCATCTCAATTTTGTTTGCCGTAAGTTTGTGTCGAGCGCCGAAGGCGCGAGAGCTCGGGAAAAATGTGTAATAGTTGACCCTCTGAACATTATTTCCTGCATTTTGAGGGACACTTTTCGGGGGATCGTACGACGGATTCGTAAAGAAAATTTTCCATGGCCCTCCCCCCAGCCCCGATTTTTTTTCCATGGCCCTCCCCCATATGCCAAATATTTTTTCCATGGCCCTCCCCCCTACGCACCAGCCCTCCCCCACCGGTAAATATCGTACAGTCCCTTACATGAAACAGATATAACTCAGTCTCCTGCTGTGCATGAATGAGTAACATCCACACCTGTTCATTGTTTACTAGAATTACGCGATTATTTCCCGTATTTGTCCCGGCTGTACCTGTGCGTTTGCAGTGCCTCATGAGGAACCAATGAGCCCCAGATCACTGGTGACGTGGACGAAGGCTGTATGGAGGAACACTTTGGGCCGAAGTTCAAGAGGTGCTGAGTATGAGAGCTCAGGGTTCTATGATTCAGGAAGTGACACTTGACCTGCACATCAGAGATGTCGTCACCTTGGTTCACCTTGACCTTCAGAGGAACAACTGAATCAGAGCCTTTTTTAGTTAATAGAATATTCCAACTCTTTCCAATGAATGCTCAAATTTGTTGATGAAGCACCGGAAAAAAAATTAGTGATTTTGCCAATGTAATTTGAGGAGGTTCTGGTCTTTAATAGTTGATCAACTTCCTCATCAGTCCAAGTTTAGTTAGCTTCCGGGTTATTGCCGCAGTTGACTTCCTCTTTCCATACTGAAGTGCTTTCAGACTCTGGAGAGATCAACGATCTAGGTGAAACTGATGAGCAGCTGGTGATGAGTCAGACTGTTTTTGAAAGATTTAAATCCGATTGCCATGGTAATGGATGGAGCTGATGTAGAGTGGCACATTCAAACCATTACCCTGTTGTCCCAGATAAAATCTTATGGACTGTGGACTGTGCATGGCTGTACCCAGAGCCTGGGTAGATGATGGCCTGGCCTGTGCTAGGCTGTACCTAGACCCAGACTCTGTGGTTTTCTGTAATCTACAGCAGGCAGGTCTTCCTCTCAGTCTCAGCCTGGCACAGTGACTACAGAGGGCTGCTGGCAGGGAGCCAGGAAGTTTACTCTTTTTCCTCATCCCAGGGAGTGAAGTACAAATCTACTAGTATTATTTTTGGTGTGTATGTGTGTGTGTACACGCACACACATGTGTTGTGATTCT